CGGCCGCCCGTGACTGACCGTGGGGAGCCGGAGCGGCCCGCGGCCCCCGCGGCGCGGAGATGAGCAGGTCCACCGCGCTGCTTCTCTGCCTGCTCGGCTGCCATGTCTGGAAGGCGGTCACCAAGACGCTGCGGGAGCCGGGCGCCGGAGCCCAAGGTCGGTGGGCGGCGGCGGGGCCGGGGGCGCTTTTGTGTCGCCCGGGCCTGGCGCCGCCGCGGTGGCGGGAGGATCGGGCGCATCGCGGCAGAGGCCCGTGCAACCCGACTCGCCCTGCGGTTCCCGGGCCTGCGGCCCCCACGTCGCCATCCCCAGGGGGCGGCGCCGCCCGGGGACACGCGGGGCCTCGCCGGGCAGATACGCCCGGGAGATCCCCGGCCCCGGGCGGGTGGGGTGCGGGTGGCAGGCTGCAGCCACCCGCCCGGTTGCCGCTGCGGGTGGCTCTTCTGCGCGCATCCGCGGTCCTTCCTTTATGCGCGACTCGGACACGCGGCTGCATCGCCCCTGTCGCGGGGAGGGCGGCGGAGCTCGCGGTCCCCTCTGCCTCCCGCTCCAGGCGCCCGGTCCTCGAGTCCCTGCGCGGAGGCGGCGCTCGGCCCTTTTGTTGTGGGGAGGAGGTGGCCGCCGCCCCGGGGCCCCCAGTGCCCCCAAGTCGCGGCCGCTGCCCTGCAGCAGCCTGCCGCAGTTAGGAAAGTTTCGGGGTCTTCTCCCCTTCCTTACCCTACGGCGCTTCCAGACCTTCGGGATTTGCTCGGCGACCACTGGAAGAGAGAGAATTGGAAGTGCGAGGCCCTAATCGCTTAAAATCATTTCCATGTCTGTCTGTCGCCAGCTCGTGTCTTTTGTCTAATCTTTGGCCTCTGCAAAGCTGCTTTCCAGCCATGGGAGTGATGTGATCACCTCTGAGAATGGCCACACGCTTTTTTTTTTTTTTTTTTTTTTAAAAAAAAAAAAAACAAAAAAAAAACTAGAATTTATTTAGAGAGAATCCTGGAGCTACCCTGACGTGGTTTTGTAGGGACAAAATCAAGCATGTGTTGCTGGCCATTTTCCGAAGGCTTGAGGCCGGCAGATGAGCTTCTGTGAGTCCACCCAGGGCGCCACTAACCTAGGGTTAATTTGGTTCCGTGCTCCACTGGGCCTCTATGGGCTGCTGAGGGTTGTCCTGTGTGGCCACATAGACATCCCCCACCCCAAGATCCCTCGAGGAAAGGTGTGTGCCCGCTAAGTGTCAAAGCACGATTATGGATCCAGCCCAGTGCCCCACTGCAGGGACTGAACCCTGCCTTACTCCTCTTCTCCACACTAACCCACAGGAGGACTTGGGACCAGAGCTCCCACCTGATGTTGTGTCAGCTTCTGTTGACAGTATGGGTTTAGTTGATCTACAGGTTGAATTGACTGTTTTCATACCCAACTCTTGCTGAATTGGTTGCTGATACCTTTTAAATGTGTCACTTCTATAGCTGACAGTAAAATATGACCATTATGAACTGGGTATAAATTTAGTCATTATGTTACAGAAGGGAGTTTTAGTCATTATGTTATGGAAGGGACTCTTGGTACAAAAAAGGCCTATATGTCTTGCAAAGGAGAGGGATACTTAAAGATTAGATCATCAGTGTTGAATGGTGTTCTTCATTTATTCCTCCCTGCTTTTTGAATTATCTATTTTTAAATATTTGATTTATTATCATTTTTATTTTATGTGGATGAGTGTATTGTCTGCATGTATGTAAGTGCACATGTGGTGTGCATTGCCCACAAAGGTCAGAAGAGGGTGTTGATTCCCCTGGAACTGGAGTTAGGGACAGTTGCTAGCTCCCATGGTGGTGCTGGGAATCGAAACCAGGTGTTGTGCAAGAGCAGCCAGTGCTCTTAACTGCTGAGCCATCTCTCCAGCCCCTGAATCATCTATTTTAATGAATGATATTTATACATGAATGAGGCCATTATTTTCAAAGAGCGGGTTGAATTTTTTGTTTTGTACTTGAAATGGAAATACATGGAAATACCGAGCTCATGAATTTATGAAATAGGGAAAATCATGGCTTCGATTAAAAATATCAAAAAAAAAAAGACTATTGGCTTTAGGTGTAAGGCCATGTTTTATTAAGGTCTTGGCTGCTAAACCCCCCAAATGGAATATTCCATGAAGTGAGAGAGAAATGACTAACCTGTGAGAATATTTATGCTCTGGTTATCCTAGGGTTTCAGTGAAGGTGGAGGATGTAGGAATAGTGTTCCCCTGGATTGCTCCCTTGATTCGCTGTTTCCAGTAAGGGCAGCTTTTTAAGGTGCACATGTCATCAGCTGTGTCAGAAGTCGTTCCCTCCTTGCCTGACACCTGGATTTTGAGCTAGTAGGTTGGGTGTTAAGGAAATGAACAATTTCTCTTGTCATTTGAGGGTAACTTCAACTCTGAGTTCCTCAGAGCATTTTGATATGTATCAGTCTCCTAATAGAGTTGGTAGATTCATGTTTTCTCTACTTCCTAGATCTTGTGAACCAGAAGACAATTGCTACATCTGATTTCATTGTGCATATTTATTGATGACTGTGAATTTGTTTGACATATAATCAATGCTGAATTTGGAGGGGGGGTTGAAGATACTAACATATACATATGTGTAATTGGAAGTTACTTAGGGAAAACAATTGAGACCTCAAACATATAGCAATCATCCACTCTAGTGGCCTGGGCCTCAGCTATATCTTCTTTGATAGGTGAAACTTTACTATAATGTCTAGGCAAGCTAACATCTGCAACATTTCCTGGTGTTACTTTGCTATTTAAATATTCAGGATAAAATTTCAGGTTAGCTTCCCATTCGCTTACTGTAGCTGCTTTGAATCTGCAAAGTGACTTATGTAATGCAACAGTTAGTGACCATGTGAGTAGCAGTGACTATAAACTTTCTCTAGAATGTGATTGGGTATTTTTCAATGTTTCATCTGAGTTATACTGTAGAGTTTATAGTATCATTTTGTGGGGATTTTACAGACAGTATTGACTGACTTTCTGTACCCCTTACAAACCACCATTGAAGGGGTTTGATAGGAGGGGATACTGGGGGTTCTTCTAGAACAGTGAGCTGTGCAAATGTTATTTTGCTAAAGCAGAGGTCATCATTAAGTGAAGGACTTCATGCTCAGACTCCTTGTGTATGATCTTTACTTTGTTATTATCTGACAGTAAGGTATTTTGTAACATTACATTTTTGTTCATCTCAGACAATCTACAATCTGTCCATAACATTTGAATGAATGGTTGGCTGCCTCTTTCCTCTCCAAGAGATCTATGCTTTGCCAGAGGAACTTATCAGAGCACTCTGTTCTGTTGAAAGTCGGTGAAGTGATGAATGGAGGGCTATCAGGAAGATCAACCAGCAATCATGACTTACATTTAGGGTGTAATAGATTTCATTTTTTGTGGTACTAAGCTTGCAGGCTAGGCAAGTTGCTACACCTTTTCCCCAGCCCAAGACCGTAACATCTAAATTTCATGGGCTTGCATCCTGGGAACCTGGAGGAGTTGGATTTACCAAAGCCACTGGTCTTCCAAAAGGAATATAGTGTGTGTGAATTTTGGTTATTTAGAATCTTCACTCTCTTATATCTTATCTAGTTAGAAAAAATAAATGAATTAGAAGGCATCACTAAAATCCTTTGTATGTAATTAACCAAGAGTCTCTGAAGTCAGATGAAATGCTCATATGATGAAAGCTGGTTGGTATTTACCTCTAGATAGATATTCCAGGGGCTTACCCACAGTGGGTGAAGGAAGTTGTATTAAGGACGATATAAGCATGTAACACCTCACTCCGTGTTCCCAGTGGTAAGTTAGGCAGGAGGCCTTTTGGAGATTTGATATTTAAGCTGCTACAGCATGGATTGGGCAGCTCGGGTGCTGTAGTGATTCTCTGTTGATTCTCTAGTGATCTCTATTGAAGCGATGAATAGTGATTCCAGAGCCAGATGGCTAAAGCTCTCTCATAGTGTGTAATCTAGGTGGAAGGGTACACTTGTCAAATATAAATTTAAGAGAGTCATCAAATATTATATATAAAATTACATACTCAAATGTGAGAACTGTAAATGATTTAGAATTGTAGAAAGCAGCAAATTGTGGGGAAAAGACGGCTTAGACTAGATGCTTTCATGTGAGTTTGTTAAAGCTGGGTTTGTCATGCTCGTTTGCTTATCTTGTTTGCAGCTCTCTCCCACGGGAGAAAAACGTCTAAGTTCAAAGAGGAAGGGCATACCTATTTTCAAGTCAAATGAGCATTTTCATTTGCTTAGACTTACTTTGTTCAGCTTAGAACTTGAATAGAAAATGACTGAGTTTATGATGCGGGAAAGATGTTTTAGTGTTGACCTGGAAAAACTGAATGAAAGACACTGAGCACTTAGACCAAAGAGGCCCTCCATCCCTTGGGTGACTCACATCAGCAAGACTTCTCACTTCAAAATCAAGATAAGTTGCCCAGTCTCAGATGATGAAGGTCATGCCTTTGTCAAGTGGGGCTGCCGTTCAGGTGGTTTGTTTGCATTACCACATTGTCATCATAGAGAAAGGCCACCAAGAAGTGTTTCGTAATGGAAATTTATCTAAAAGAAGGACTTAAACTGCATATACATTATGTCTTAACGTTCTATAGGTAGAAGTGTTTGCTACTTAGTTAATTATTTATTGATCATTATTTATCATTTTCTTAGTAATTTGGAAAAGGACTTCTTGGACCATTCACTATACTTTTTATTAATAAAGATAAAAGGGTAGACTTGTAAAATGCAGATCTAAAATTGTCAAAAATATTTCTTAAAATTTTTATTGAGCTTTTGCACATTTCTTTTTTAATATTTTATTTTTATTTTATGTTTTAATGTATTGTCTGCATATGTGTAAGTGCACCCATGTTGTACAATGCCCTCAGAGGTCCCCTGGAACTGGAGTACAAAAGGTTGTTAGCCTCCATGTGGGTGCTGGGAATGGAACCTGGGTCCTCTGGAAGAGCTGCCAGTGCTCCTAACCATCGAGCCATCTCTCCAGTCCTGAGCTTTTGTACATTTCATACAACAGTTTTTAACCAAAATAGACCCTCTCCCCTATCCATGCCCCCACCCCCCTATTCCCCCACCAGACCTCATGCATTCTA